ATATTTTTGGCAAGCAGTACTTATTTTTTGCTGCACCACCTGTCAGCCAGAATATTACAATAGAAACAGAAATGCAACCATAATAAAACATAAATTAACAACTACAAAACTTTATAAACTATCCAAGCATCCAAATTATCCCATCAAACATCAAAACTATCCAACCAAACTTCAAAATGTAATATTCAAAGTCAACATCCAACTAAACAATCCAATCAAACATAAAATCACTCCTCATCTTCGGATTCCCCCTTATCTTCTTCATCATTTATTTTGTTTCCATCACTTTCATCCACTTCATAAATGTGGCTTTTTGGCGGAGAGCGGGACAGGCCGATTAAATGGTTCACTTGAGCCTTGAGGGACTCGATGTCATTCCTAAGTGCGGTTTTAATCTTCTGATCGTGCTTTCTTTTTTCTCGTTAATCCGCATAGTTCCTAGAAAGTTATTGAATCGTTCGCCGCATCTCCTCAAGCTCCTCATTTTGCACGGTGGCGGATGTCCCAATACCTTGTAATCCACAAAAGCGAAGTGAAAAAAAATACACGAAGAGTTAGAATGGAATAATTTAGCACCTAACTTCATAATTAATCTTCAACTAGGGAACATCGACTACCAATACATACTATGAAGTAGAAACTTCGGCTAAGTTTTGAGCAACATATTAAAAGTTCTTGGAATATATATGTACAAAATCTACATAATCTAAGCTAGAAGACATCTGCCATATATCTTCACACGAACATCCACTTCCCATTAAAGTTATTTTTCTTAGTCATAAGATATTCTGTGAATAACTTTTCATTAAATCATCAAATAAGAAAGTTAATAACATGGCATTAATATGGTGTTTTTGCAAGCTATCTATTTCACTAAAGAGCACAACAAAAAGGAGCAAAGTGAAAAGGAAATAAGAAACCAAAAAACAAAAAACCAACACAAACACAGTTGGCAAAACTGTTAAATCAGAACAAAATGAATGAAAAACTGCTACAAAGACACATTATGAAGTATTTGTCAAGCTCTAATTGACCATTCTTCATTATATAAAGAAGCAATTTGCTTCACTAAGCCAAGCAAACACAACTACCTTTCTATATATATAAACACAAACAGTTCTCTCTCAGTTTTTTCCTTTTGGGGTTTCCAGAAAATGGAAAACCAAAAACTACCTCTCCCGGCTGCAACAAAGCTAGAGAGAATTGGGTCCATTAAGCCTTCTGGTTTCTCACTGAATTCTCATGAACTTGTCCTTGCCAGGGTTTGTTACTTAATTTTAATTAACCTTTTCTTTTTCCCACTTTTCTATAGCAGTTAAAGAAACATTAGTGTTCATCAACTTTAAAACTTTGAACTGATGTCTTTTTTGAGTTATAGTTTGGATTACCATGGAAAATATATACTAGTATAATACTAACAGCTAACGTTTTAGTTCTTTTTCAGGAACAAGCATTTAAGTCTTTTTCAGCACCTAACAACCCCAAACCACCAACAAAAGTAGCCTGAAACGGTCCAAAAAACAGCCGCGAAATATAGCTAACAAAAAGAAGAGATTATTAACAAAAAAGTATATACCTTGTAGTCCACACTTGAGGCGATGATAGTTGTGCTTGGAGGAAAGGCTGTTGAATTTGGCAAAGTCCCACATCGGTGGGTTAGCCATTTGGTTGGGAAATTTTCCCAATAAAAGAAGGCCTAATATTTAGGATTTAGACACACCTCTCATTTGCCTTCTCATCTGTTTAAAGCATTTGTATCTTCTCTCTTTAGTATTATTNCCATATGCTCTACCCTTATACACGCCTCCAACCACGTTCAACCAAAATGGGAAAGTTTCTTCCTCCGATGGCATCCACAAAATGAGGGCCTTGAGGAGATGCGGCGAACGATTCAACAACTTTATAGGAACTATGCGGATGAACGAGAAGAAAGAAAGCACGAAGAGAAGATTAAAACCGCACTTAGGAATGACATCGAGTCCCTCAAGGCTCAAATGAACCACTTAATCGGCCTGCCCCACTCTCCGCTAAAAAGAAGAAACATATGTTCCATATACATATACAAACAACAAATTTATTATTCTTACTCATTTAATATTATAACAATTACAACAATTTCTACTTACTTTAGTTATCAATTTAAGATAATTAAATAATCACTAAGATTTTTATCGTATACCATTAGTAAACTTCTACTTAGTGTATAATTAACAATGTATAGGCTATTGAATCACTAACATTACTTAATGATATATCCTTAGTGCGTACACTTCTACTTGGTGTAATTATCAATATCTATAAGCTAATTGTAACTATTACACTTCTATACTTAAAGTAATTATCAATGAATTGCCTAATAAATTATTAATATTAATTAATAATTTTGCTAATATAGTTTTACTTACTTTAGTTGTCAATTTAAGACGATTAAACAATCACCGATATTTATCACATATACCATTAATAAACTTCTACCTGGTGTGTAATTATCAATGTATAGACTAGTGAATCACTAACATTACTTAAGGATATATTCTTAATACACTTCTACTTAGTGTAATTAACAATCTATAAGCTAATTATAACTATTGCACTTCTACTTAGTGTAACTATCAATATATAGGCTAATCAATTATTAACATCACTTAACGATACCACTAATAAATCTATACTTACTTTAATTATCAATTTAAAGATAAACGATCACTAACATTTCTCACAAATAGCATTAATACACTTTCATTTAGTGTATAATTATTAATGTATAAGCTAATCAATCACTAACATTACTTATATAAGGATGACACTAGTTCACTAATACTTGGTGCTATTATCAATGTATATAGGCTAACCAATCACCAACATTACTTACAAGTATATTATTAATACATTTATACTTCATGTAATTATCAATCTACAAGCTAAATACAACTAATACAATTTTAATTAGTATATTATCAATGTGTATGATAATCACTTGCTAACGTTACTTAAAGACACCGTTAATACACTTCTGCTTACAATAATTATCAATTTATAAGTTAAACTATCATTAATATTTTTTACGAAAATGACTAATACACTTCTTCTTAGTGTGTAATTATTAATGTATAGGTTAATCAATGAATTTAAGGATACAACAAATTCACTTTTACTTTGTGTAATTATAAATTGCTAAGCTAAGTACCACTAATAATTTTTAAGTAGTGTAATTATCACGAATACAATTCCACTTAGTGTAATTTTCAATAAATAGGCTAATCAACCACTAAGATAATTAAGTAAACACTTACCGAGGGATTTACCGACGCCTTCCTCTGTGTAATAAAAAAAATACAAAATAATAATGTATAAACTTATATATTTAAATTACCGACGGAAGTCCATCGGTACTGTAAGAACAAAATTCAAAATATTATATAAATGCAATAGCGATTGAGTCCATCGATAACTTTATTTTATTTTTCATTTTTTTAAATACACCGAAAGAAACCGTCGATATCTAAAAAAATAATTCAAAAATATAAATACAAAATATTGCGAGAGAGTCCGTCGGTAATTTACCGACGGAGTGCATCGGTACAACCAACTAAATTTTGACCGGTCAAAGTATCATTATTTATCGAGAGTTGTCCGTCGAATATTTTTTTGCTTATTTCTGTCTGCTACTTTTGGCCTTCCACTTAAGTCTTGGAATCTTCTTACATAAAATCAAATGTAGTTCTGTCAAAGAATCAACCAGTTTAATTTTGCGGAGGTATTTTTGTATAGTTATTCCTCAAAATACTAGTACTTGATCCGAATTGAGTGTCGTGCACTATTCTGGCAGAAGTTCCTGCACTATTTACTTCTATGATATATTTGTTTGCATTTATCTCAAAGGTCTGCTGAAGTTTCTTGGCACCAATGAGTAAAAATAGCAGTAATCCCAAAAGTATTTGAGAGTGAATATTCCATGCATAATGGGATGTTTTACTTACAAATCGTCTTGCTCAAGAACCTGTAACAACTCAATCCCTCGTTATTTCTGCTTCTTATTCTTTTTTCTTTGAGCCAGGGGTCATCCGGAAACAGTCTCTCTACCGTCACAAGGTAAGGTTAAGTTTTGCCTACACTTCGCCCTCCCCAGACCCTACTATATGGAATTACACTGGGTTTGTTGTTGTATTCGCACTGTTATTTTCGTAAGCAGAGTTTTCCAATTTCAGGTGCTATTGCTATGATAATGATATTTTTAATTTATAGGTTTGTTTGTTAACTATCTACTTTAAACTTTGATTAACAGCAAGGATACACTGAGTGCTGCTCCCTTACCTTCTTACCATCCCAGTTGGACAAACTTATTGTTCAATTAACTGATGGCCTAAATATGCTGTTTTTCGTGATGCTAAGCAATTCCAGGTTTTCCTAGAAACACTAAGTGATCGATTGGCGCAAGATATCAGATACTTGATGTCAAACAGTGACAGTCACCTTACAATTACCTGTTTCACTTTGCTCTATGTCGTGACTCCTAGGGGAATCGCAAGGGATGCAACCTCCATCAGATTGACACTTCCTTGGAGCTTAAATCTTCTATACCACACAGGTATATACGAAGAACAGTTCCAAGAGAATAAGATCAAATATATATTGCTTATAAATCATTTGGTACTAGGCATCAGAGCTTAAATCAAAGCCCCTGCGCCTATCGAAACCTCTTAATCTACTGTCAAATCAGCTATTGTACAACATGCTGCACAATTTTAAATGTTTTGGTTGACGACTGGGAGGTATACTTATATTCAACTAGAAAATAACTTTTGCACCTATATCCTCAATTGAATTTTACAGGTGCTGCATAAAAGATGTCAGTTGATGGTACTGATATAGTGTTTCTTTTTGTCGTCTTAAGCCCCTCAACCCCCTCGGGTAGGGGTAAGGTCTGCGTACACACTACACTCGCCAAACCCCAACCACCAATCTATAAAAAACAAAAAATGAAACAGTGCTTTGACTGGTTCTAAAATTATATTACTTCATAAGAAATACATGATGTTTACAGAGGGCATCAAGATATCACAGTGAAGAACTACATGAAACATACAGAAAAAGAGGAACATGACAAAATTATTCAAAGTCTATATTGATCAATCAAAAGACAACCTTAGCAATCAGTAAAGTGTCGCAAAATAAGAGGATAGGCGTTTCTGCTAGCTTCATAAGAGATTCCAGCATGAGAGCATGACATGACTACAACAATTTGCTAAGAAAGAACTCCATCAACTCTGTCTGTGCTTTTGCTGCAGGTATCTTAGCAATTCCCAAACAAAAACACACCGTCGTTAGTTTGAGATCAACCTGGAGCAATTAAGAGAAAGCAAGCATCAAATCAAGATATCAAAAAAAGAGAAGGTACAAGAAGAAAAACTATAAACAATACCATGTTTTTGTGAACTTGACTCACAACTGCCAGAGATAGCCCTCATGTTTCTGTATTTAACATATAACATCACATTAGTCGCACGTAGATACTCAAAAACAACACATAGGAGTTTGTTTGTACTTACTTTGATAATGAGGTCAATACGGTCCGTTGCTTCATTCTCTTCGACTTCTTCCTTAATTCTCACAGCTGAAGCCACCAGAGATTTATTGTTGTTGCACCATATCAACTTAATCTGTTTCAGTGTTTGAATATATGCAAAGCTAAGGGGGATCTCCTCGAGATATTCACACTGTTTTATAACAAGTGTTTCTAGCTGGGGAAAAGATTCCTCTGAGGCATCCCACTTTGAGACATATAATTCCTCCAGTTTCAAGAACTTAAGTTTATGGAACGTCGTATCTCCAAGGCACCACTCTTCCGACTCATAATAAAAATCCACTAAATGGAGATACTCCAGACTTGATAGTCCCGCAATGAAACAAATCGCACTTTCTGTAAGGGTACCGCTTAGTACCAGCTTCTTTATATTTGAAGGCAAGTGTAACTTGGATATCCTTTGGTACGGGTGAAAGGAAAGGCGCAGTATTTGAAGCTGAGTAAGATTCTCCAATCTGGGACATATCCTTGAAGAATTTTTACAGCCTGAAATAATGATGTCAAGTTTTTGAAGATTAGGACACCTCTGTAATAACATATCCACTCTATCAGTATCACCAATTGGAAATTTAACTCGCCTTAATGTCCTCAAATTTACCAATTTAGGGGATTCTTCAAAGATCCGGTGCTTATCGTTATCCAAATGAAAAACAGCATTGGTAATCTCAACAAGCCTTAATTTTTCCATCTTCCAAAAAGTCGGTAACACTGAAGATATGATACTCGCTGAAAAACGCTTCACAATTAAAGTTTCTAGATGGGGAAAATGTGATTCTGGATGAAAATCAAATTCACATGTGAAAACTGCAAGGTACTTCAGGTGAATTAGTGGTTTCAGTGTAGCTGACGACAAAGCAATCACTAAATGAGAACTCAAATTCAGGACCTTAAGAAGTCTCAACTCACTAACCTGACGGAAGGGATTCCAATCTAAGAATTCTGTTCCATTGGTCATAAGTGATCTCACATGTTGGTGGAAAGGCTTCCGCGTTCTAGAGCCTAGTAATGCAATCTCAGAAAGCTCAGTACTGAAACTGAAGCTCACTCGACTTTCCTTCCAAATGGAAGTTTGAAAGTCTCTATAATGCTCCTTCACTGCCAACATAAACGTTTCTTGTCTACTCCTCTCCAAGCAAAAGTGAAGCGCTACATCATGAAGCTGGCAGTATTTGACTTTACCGTTATATCTTCTCTTTGAAACCATTACAACGTTACTGCTAATGAGATCCATCAAGTAACCTTCAGCTGTCTCTTCCATTAATCTCTCAGATTCAATGTTCTGCACGAAACCCTCCGCGATCCATAAACTTATCAATTTAGACACTCGAATTCTTGCGTCCTCTGGAAACATCCCCATGTAAAGAAAGCAAGGCTTTAAATAATCGGGTAAGTTATCATAACTTAACTGCATAGTTTCCCGACTATAGTCTTCAGTCTCACAATCAAGATAGGAAAATAGAGCATCTTTAACCTCATGCCACCAAAATTCTTCCGTTTTCTTCTTTTTAATTATTCCAGATGCCAAGACAACCACTAGTGGCAGCCCTTTGCATCTTCTTGCAACATCTAGACTCACATCGTCTAGTTCAGGTGGGCAAGCTTCATTTTGAAACACTTTTTTCTGCAACAATTCCCTACTCTCTTCGGGTGTGAGGAATGGAAGGAAATACGGATCACTATGGTGCTTGACATCCTCACCCACTTTGTCAAGTCGAGTTGTCACTACTATTCTACTTCCATTTCTACCATCTGGGAAAGACAATCTTAAGTCATCCCACGCCATACCATCCCATATATCATCCAAGACAATGAGGTATCTCTTTCCCACTAAGCTTTTCCTCAATAGGTCAGCAAGTTCGCCAACCTCATCAACCTTGTACTTGGACCCGGTAACTTGACTGAAAATCTCTTGTAACAGCTCTCTCCGGTTATGTATTTGGGAAATGATGCACCATGCTTGAACATCAAAATGAGAGATGACGTTGTCATTATTATACACCTTTCTAGCAATCGTAGTTTTACCTTGTCCTCCCATCCCAACAATTGGGATGACATCTAGCTCATTTGTTCCTCGAATCAGAAGCCGAAGTATATTTTTTGTGTCATTCTCAAAGCCCACTATCTCCTCATCATACCTAAGATTGCTATGTTGAATTGGCAGATGCTTAGATGGATCTATCACAGAGCAGGGCTTAAGAGAAAGGAGGTTCTTAAACCTCATCTCAGTCACCTTCTCACGAATATTCTTGATCTCTTTTACGATTGCAGGAAGTGAGCAAAAAAGATACCAAAGAGCATTACACTGAGCAAGTATAGAGTCAATGGAAACTTCAGCTTCATATGCCAAATTGATAGTACGCCTCTGAAGATCTTTAAGAATTTCATGTTCATGCTGCACCTTTGCAACATTTCTGAAAACAGATGTTAGATATGAGAGCTCTTTCTCTAAAATGACAATATAAGGCTTCAACATGAAATCTAAACCTGATTCAGATTTCAACATCTCATTCAATTTCCTTAGGAGAGAATCCAGAAAGCTCAATCCACCAACTGTCGGAAACTGAGATGGTCTGTATATAACGGATCTGTAGTACCTCTCTTCCACTTGTGCCTTTAGATCTTCAATTTTCTCTAATATCTGTATCGTGCCAAGATCAATCTTGCTCGCATCATCTTTGATTGTCGATCCTGAAAGAAGCTGCATTTGAATTACACAAAGTATGTCGCCGGCAAGAACTCCAACCTTTTCTAAGAGTTCATTCAACCTATTACCATTAATAACATGATTTGGTATATCGCCGAGAAAAACTAACATGAACTCTATTGCCACATCAATGTTTCGAGCAGAGACAATAGGGGGAAAGTTATCAAGCTTTTTATCTCTAAGATACACCAGAAGACAGTGGAGTTGATATGAAAATCCTTTTGGTAATTTCTTGTCCTTGAAAGTTCTTGATTGAGTAAACTTTGACGCCTTTAGTTCACTGAGAAAAATCTTTTTCATTTCCATCTCCAATATCATAACCAAGCATAATAGATAATGAGGCTCACTCTCGATATTAGATGTATCATCTCCATCCTCTTTCACCCAAAGATCAAGACAGAACTGTCGAACATTGTCAGCCATGAACTGTATCCGAGCCTGCATACCTTCCAACTTCTCACGGTCGACATAATTACCATTTATCTCTGCACCATATAAGTATCTTATAAACCTTATTTTGTTTTGAATGACTTTGACTTTCCTTAAGTATCTATCTGTCTTCTGTAGGATATTGATTTTTTCCGCGAAAAAAGCGACAGATCGAACCAAGTACCTCGGTGCATCATTTAGATTCTGGTCAAGGTAATCCATATATTCCAACATATACGAATCATTCAGTTCAACGTTGTATATTAAACTGGTACCGCTATCTTCACTGAATTCCTGCAACTCTGATACTAGCCTTTCCACATTAAGACTAGTTTTGTATTCACCTGAAATTCCACCAAAAACCGAGTGAAGCATTTCCACAATCAATTTGGCCTTCTTTCTGATTTCTACTAAAGAATCAGGCAAAAGAGCATGAGGGTACTTGATAAAGGTTCTCAAAAATCTTAGCTCCATTTCAAGTGTCTCAATCTTGACAACATTCATATCACCTCGACTCTTAATCCTTCTCAAGTGATCTAACATATCCTCAATGTCGTTATGCACCATCTTCCGTAGATAAATTAAAAAGTAGAAAATCCCTGCAAGTTTACCAAACTCTTGTCATATTAATATTAAATAAGAAGGAAATTTTATTAATGTCTTTTAATCCTACTATCATAAGCTATAATGCTTGTGAAAGATTGTACACATTCTGCACATTTTTTATTATGAAAATTTCACAAACATCCCTTAGGTTTTGACATATTGCGTATATCTCTTTTGCGATATCAAATATATTATACGAACTTCCCTTCTTTCATATATTTTTTTTGAGGTAAGTAACTAGCAAAAAAAAGGGCAACGCGATGCACAAAAACATCCCGCATGCACGCAGGATCTGGGGAAGGGCCGCACTCAATGAGGTGTGATGTAGGCAGCCTACCCTGATGTCTACGACTCGAACCCGTCACCTATAGGTCACAAGGAAACAACATGACCGTTGCTCCAAGAAGGTAAGTAACTAGTAACAAGATGATTTATAGCCACATAAATATCTAAGTTTTATTTTAAATCATAAGTTTCAAAAGTTTGTTTCTTAAACTCTATGATTAGTCAAACACTATCACATAAATTGGGATGGAGTGAGTAGTAGTTAATAAGACAAAAGCTAAATGGATTCATGTAGCTCTTCTAACAATATAAGAACTAGACTTGTAGATTGCAAATGAAACCAATTTAGCACTACTAAAAAAATTGAAATTAACTAGGAACTTCATTGCTAATCTATCGCTAAATCGCTCATAGCTAACATAGTTTTTTATAATCCGTCGCTAAATAGGATTACTGATGAATTTTTCTATTTAACTACAGAATTTGTCCGTCCCTAATTCCTTTTTTTTAGTAGTGTAGAGATTTGGAAAAGAAGATAAGTTAACACAAGTTCAGTTCGAGTCTTACAATCAATCAAGCGCGATTTTGGCTTCTTTCGTCTTCTTTTGTAACTCCAATTTCTGATACAATAATATCCTAAGAGGAAGCACAAGAGATGAACATTAAAATTATAAGATTCAGGAATAAATAAAAGAAATCACAGAAATGATCATATCAACAAATAATGATGAAAATTTTCAAATTTAACCAAATATATGGCCCAGAATTTTCGACATGTATATATAGTATTTCAAGTGTTGTTAGAAAAAGTTTATTGAAATACCTGTAAAAAGTAAAAGTTGCTGCAGGAGAAAACTACCTAATGAAGAAGCTCGGAAGGAGGAAGATATATGTTAGGTTCAGTGGAAGAATAATTATCTTGAAGATATCCTAAAACTTATAAAGGAATGTGAATAAAGTTTGGTCCAAAGTTATTTATATTATTAAATTATTCTTAAATATAATAGTAATACCTTTTTAGAATATACTAAAAAAATGTGCCACTAAAGGAAACCTTTGGGCAATAATGGAGACCATCAATGTGATATGTAGAACTTTTGTTTTTCTCTTTTACATCGAAGGATATGACTATTAAAAGCAACCGCAATCAAAAACTAAATTGAAAGTGAAACAGTAAATATATTTTGAGACAATCTCCGACCAGTTTAATTTTGCGGAGGTGTTTTGTATAGTTATTCCACAATGTTTGTTTGCATTTATCTCAAAGGTCTGCTGAAGTTTCTTGGCACCAATGAGTAAAAATAGCAGTAGTCCCAAAAGTATTTGAGAGTGAATATTCCAAGCGTAATGGGATATTTTACTTACAAATCGTCTTGCTCAAGAACCTGTAACAACCCAATCCCTCGTTATTTCTGCTTCTTATTTTTTTTTTCTTTGAGCCGGGGTCTTTCCGAAACAACCTCTCTACCTTCACAAGATAAGGGTAAGGTTTGCGTACCCTCCCCAGACCCTACTATGCGGAATTACACTGGATTTGTTGTTGTTGTTGTTGTTGTTGTTGCTGTTCTATTCGCATTGTTATTTTGGGGAGGGTAGTGTGAGTAGAGAGACTGTTTCCAATAGACTCTCAGCTCAAGAAGATGGAACGAGACAGTGTAGCAATAACAGCAAAGGAATCCAGAAAGATAACACCAGCAACGTAATAACCAGAAAATAGAGCTATTGTACAACATGCTGCTCAATTTAAAATGTTTTGGTTGATGATTGGGAGTGTACTTATAAAAAACAAAAATGAAACGTCGCTTTGACTGGTTCTAAAATTATATTATGTTGGGCTAAAACGGCCCAAATACACTTTTAACACGGTATGGTATTGTCCGCTTTGGGCCAAGCCCGCACGAAAGGCCTCACACGATTAAGAGATATCTACACCTTATATTTAGACTTCCAATCTTTTCAACTATCAACATGGGGACTTTGTTCGCATACTTAACATATTACTACATAAGAAAGGCATGATGTTTATATAGGGCCTCAAGATATCACAGTGAAAGACCACATGAAACATACAGAAAAAGATGAACATGACAAAATTCTTCACAGTAAGCATGAGTCTATGTTGATCAATCAAAAGACAACCTTAGCAATCAGTAAAATGTTGCAATATAAGAGGATAGGCGTTTCTGCTAGCTTCATAAGAGATTCCAGCATGTGAGCATGACATGACAACAACAATTTGCTAAGAAAGAACTCGATCAACTCTGTCTGCGCTTTTGCTGCAATTATCTTAGCAATTTCCAAATAAAAACACACCGTCGTCAGTTTGAGATCAATATGGAGCAGTTAAAAGAAAGCAAGCATCTAATCAGTATAACGAAAAGAAGGTACAAAAAAAAAGAAAAAAACTTAAAACAATACCATGTTTTCATGACAAGGTCTTGACTCACAGCTGCTGGAGACAGCCCTAATATTTCTGTATTAAAAAATATTGTTGCACATTAGAGCATGTAGATACTCAAAAAACCGCACGTATAAGAGTTTGTTTATACTTACTTCAATAATGAGGTCAATACGGTTGCATCCTTCAGTATCTTCAACTTCTTCCTTAATTCTCACAGCTGAAGCTTCGAGAGATTCTTTGTTGCACCGAATCAACTTAATCTGTTTCAGTGTTAGAATATCTGCAAAGCTAAGGGGGATCTCCTCGAGATGGTAACACCCTTTTATAACAAGTGTTTCAAGCAAGGGAAAAGATTCCTCTGAGGCTTCCCACCTTGAGATATATAATGTAGTCAGTTTCAAGAGCTTAAGTTTACGGAACTTAACACCAGTTCCAAGGCACCACTCATCGTGTTGATCAAAATTCAGATACCTTAATTGGAGATACTCTAGACTTGGCAGTATCGCGATGAAGGAAATGGCCCTTTCAATATGATCCCCCTGCAGTACCAACTTCTTTAAATTTAAAGGCAAATGTAACTTGAATAAAGCTAAGTCCTCGTTAATGGTAAGGCGAAGTGATTGAAGCTGGGTAAGACTCTCAAAGTTGGGACAAATCACTGCAGAGTATTCTTCATCACCCCGAAATTCGATCACAAGTTCTTGAAGATTAGGACACCTCCGTANCTGACAACTCTCTTCTGGTGTGAGGAATGGAAGGAAATAAGGATCAATATTGTGCATGACATAATCACCCACTTTCTCAAGTCGAGTTGTAACTATCATTCTGCTTCCATTTTCAGCATTTGGAAAAGATAATCTTAACTCATCCCATGCCATAAAATCCCACATATCATCCAAGACAATGAGATATCTCTTCCCCATTAAGCATTTCCTTAACTTGTCTGCAAGGACGTCATCCTTATCTCCCTCATCCTTGTAATTGGTAACTTGTCTGAGAAGCTCTTGTAATAGCTCACTCCGGTTATATGTTTGGGAAATGATGCACCATGCTCGAACATCAAAATGAGAAACAATGATGTCGTCATTATACAACTTTCTAGCACAAGTTGTTTTACCTTGTCCCCCCATCCCAACAATTGGGATGACATCTAGGCCATTTGTTCCTTGAATTAGATGCCGAATTATTCTTTTCATGTCATTCTCAAAACCAACTATCTCCTCATCATTCATAGGATTGCTATGTTGAATTGATAGATGTTTAGATGGCTCAACCACAGTGCAGGGCCTAAGATCAATGTTCTCCGACCACATCTTGGTCACCTCCGTACGAATATGCTTGACCTCTTCTATGATTGAAGGAAGTGCGCAAAAAGANCTATGATTGAAGGAAGTGAGCAAAAAGAATGCCAAAGAGCATTATATTGAGAAAGAATAGAGTCAATGGCAATCTCAGCTTCATATGCCAAATTGATCGTACGCCTCTGAAAATCTTTAAGAATTTCATGTTTATGGTGCACTTCCGCAACATCTCTGAAAAGGGATGTTAGAGATGAGAGCTCTTTCTCTAAAATGACAATATGAGGCTTCAACATGAAATCTGAACATGTTACATTTTTCAACATCTCATTCAATTTCCTTAAAAGAGAATCCAGAAAGCTCAATCCACCAACTGTGGGAAACTGCGATGGAGTAAATTTAAAGGATTTGTAGTACTTCTCCACTTGCGCCTTTAGATTTTCAGTTTTCTCCAATATCTGTCTCGAGCAAAGATTTATATCGCTAGAGTCACCTTTGGCTATAGAGATAGGATGAAGCTTTTGAATAACACACATAACATCACCCACAAGAGATCCCACCTTTTCCAAGATCTCATTCAAAATCCTACCACTAATAAGATGTTTCGACGCATCAGCAAGAAAACCCAACAAGAACTCTATTGCCACATCAATATCTTGAGCAGAGACATTGTTAGGAAAGTTCTCAAGCTTTTTGTTTTTGAGATACACCAGCAGACATTGGAGATTATATGAAAATTCTTTTGGTAGTTTCTTGTCCTTAAACGTTATTGATCGAATAAACTTTGAAGCCTTTACTTCAGAGAGAAAAAGCTTCTTCATTTCAAGCTCCACTAGCACAACCAGGCATAGTAAAAAAGGAGGTCTACTCTCGATATCAGATGTATCATATCTATCCTTATTAATCCAAAGTGCAAGACAGAATTGTCCGACGTTTTTAGCCATGATTTACATTCGGATGCTCAAACCTTTTTGCTTCTCATGCTCAATGTAGCCATTAATCTCAGTATCATATAAGTATATCAGAAACTTCATTCTCTTTTGAATGCATTTCAATTGCTTGAAATATCTGTCTGTCTTCTGAAGAATTCTGACTTCTTTACTGAAAAAAGTGTCAGACGAGAAAAAGTACCTCAGTGCATCGTTTAGATTCTTGTCGAGGCAATCCATATATTCCGACAGATAGAATGAGAAATCATTCATCTCATAACTGTAACTTAATTTGGTAATACAATCAATGAATACCAGCAACTGTGTTACTATCCTTTCCACATTAAGGTTAGTTTTGTATTCATCTGAAATTCCACCAAAAACCGAGTTAAGCATTTCCACAATCGATTGAGCCTTCTTTGTGATTTTGACTAAGGAATCAGGCAAAAGAGCATGAGGATGCTTTAAAAAGGTTCTCAAAAATCTTAGCTCCATTTCAAGTGTTTCAATCTTGACAACATTCAAATCACCTCTACTCTTAATCCTTCTTAAGTGATCTAACACATCCTCAATGTCGCTATGAGCCATCTTTCCTAAATAGAGTAGAAATTCCTGCAAGTTCACCCAACTTATGTTATATCAATCTTCACTAACAGCTTGTTTAAATTGTTGTTACATGTCGTTTTATAATGTATCGTATTGTATTGTACTGTATTATATTGTATTATTTAATGAATACAACGTTTGGATAGATTGTATCATTTGCTGTCGTTTATATCAAGCACTAACAATATGAAGAAAAACTTGCAACATTACTAAGAAAAAATAGGATATGGAGTTGAATTTGCTATATAGAAAAGTAGAGCAAAGGATAAAACTAATATGATTATTTAATAATAAGGGACACAAGATGAAAGAAAAAAAAAAGCAAGGAAACGACGCCACCACCAAATCCTTCGTTCCATGAAGTGGCATTTTTCGTCGTTACGTAACGATGGATTTAATGATACGATACAATAAAATTTAAGTGACAATCAAAACAAATATTATATTTAAAGTAATAATACAATACAATACAATAGGTAACAACCATCCAAAAAAGTTTTAAACCATGATTAAGTGATTTAATACAGTGAAAATATATATTAATTAATTATGGTTAAGGGAAAAAAGTTTATATGCTAACATATGTTGTTCATTTATCGAGTAAATTGCTAGGCTCTTGTCTCGTGATCGACTTACACGCTTCAACCACCCGGGCTTACACCCCCGGCCATACTCAACGCCCAAAATTCATAATTGAGTCCTATTTTTGTATATTATTCACTCGAGCGCCATGTTTTGCATATGTTCGTTAGGGGGAGGGGTATTTGTGAGGGGAATTTGTGATTCAAAGTATAAGAGTGAGGACATTTAAATTCGATAACTCGAAGAAGGATATATATATAAACAATGTCTCAAAGTACAAGAGCAAATATGACTATTTTCCCTAATTTAATTTACAGGTGGACAAATATATCCCTTATATTTCAATATTATTCTTTTACATATACTCGCTCTCTCTCTCTCTCTCTATATATATATAACTGCCCCAGACTATTCGATTTGATACCAAAATTACCTTCATCCACCTATTGAGCCAAAATACCCCTACTGTTATCTTAGTGGCTCAATTATGCTCTTATTACTAACGGGCTTATCTTAAAAAAAATAGAAAAATTTCATGATTATCCATGTGTTACCATTCTATTAGCCTAAATATAAACCTTTGCTAAATTAAAAAGAAAAAACCACCATAAATCTAGGATTCGATTGATCCGTGTCGATTTTAAACCCTATTAATCCAAATTCGATTTTAAAAAATAATGTAACTTCTTCTTCATCTTTTAGATTCTGCAATGGACGAATTTGCGCCACTACAACAACCAGAAAAGTAATAATTTATGTAAGAAAATGTTGACTTTAGGAATGAAATAAAATGGGTATGAGAATAAAATTGGGAATCTTGACTTAGGAAGTAATTCATTAAATGAAATCAAATGGGTATAAAATGAGTATGAGAAAAAAATTCATTATCTCCTCCTCTGATTCAATTTCATGGAGATTGGAGAAGAAAGGGAGAGTTGGCCGATGGGGCATGTCCTTTTTTCGGGCGACTGTGAAGAAACCATAATGGGTACTGTTTTATAAAAAAAAGTTGGTATAGATTTAAAATTAGATCAATGGGATGGTGATACATGGATATTTATTAAAAATATTTTCCAAATAAGTCTGTTAGTTAATAAGGGCATAAGTAGGGTGTTCACGGCTCGGTTTGGTCGGTTTTTGATTAAAACCAAAACCAAACCAATTTAATCGGTTTTTAAAATTTAAAACCAAAACCAAACTAAACTAAATACAAACTATCAATTTGGTTGTTCTTGGTTTGGTTCGGTTTTTTCGTTCTTTGCAAGCTAATGATAAGTCGATAATAGTAAAACAACACTAGCCAACAATCTGAAAATAATATGCTAAATTTATGCTTTAATATATTTCTTTCAGAACTGAAAGTTCATTTACCTGTTTATATGAAAAGAATGAACAAAATAACAAACTAAAAGCAGACAAGAGTTGTGCGTATGATTAGAGAATTAAAGTCTCGTAGGGAAAAAATAATTGGCTAATTCCTATTGTTTTAGCTTATACAATCTTTTAAGATATAAATAGGATAAAGCAAAATTTAAAATAATAATTGAAATGCATAAATATATTTAATATTATTTACAAAAAGTTATTATACTTTATATAAATAATTATTAAATTTTATATATAATTTATCGGTTTGGTTCCGTTTATTTTTCGGTTTTTTATAATAGAACTAAAACCAAATCAAATATTATCGGTGTTTAAAATTAAAAATCCAAACCAATCCAAATCAAGAAAAATATCGATTTACTTAATCGGTTTGGTTCGAATTTCGGTTT